TTCTCCTCTCGGGATCTTGGGCACACACGCACACGTACCCGGCATGAGTTTAAGCCACCAGGTCTGAGACTTGAACCGTGGTCAACTACAGAGGAGTCCAGCGACATAGCCATTACGCCAACTGCTGGGCCCCCCAAGGCTGTATTTTGAAGGAATGGGAGTTTTCTGGGGCCAGCAGATGGTATTAGCGATTACATCGCTGGACTCCCACCTGGCCGACCACAGTTTAGACCTAGGCACAGTGGCATGAAAACACGCCGGGCACGTGTAGGTGCGTGCCCAAGATCCCAGGAGAAGAATGGATGAGAAGGGATTGCCGAGAGCAGCCATCCCCCAGGGAGGGATTTCGCACTTTTCCTCTGCGTCTCTTTCTACAGCAAGTGCATGCGTCCTAAGGCAAAAACCTCTACCAAAGAGATGGTGTTTTCTGCAGGGGAACTGAAGCGAGATGACGATGCTGTCGACAATAGCAAAGAAATGACAATAAAACACACCAGGTACCACTACACAGAGCACTACCACGTGTATTAAAACCACTCTGCCCCCTGACAGCCCCCTGAGGCAGGTACTATTTTTTTTTATATTTTATTTAACTTAATTAATTTTAACTTTGACCAGAAAGGGACAGGGTGAGAGAGAGGGGGAAAGTGAGAAAGCAAGCCGCCATGTCCAGGACTTGAACCGCGGTCAGCCATATGGGAGCCCAGCGCCCTAACCACCATGCTACCAGCCTGCTCCGAGGCAGGCACTATTATCATCTCCATTTCACAGAAGCAATGAGCTGGAGAGCTCAGAGAGCCTGCCCACAGCCACACCACTAGAAGGTAGTCTGGTCTCAGAGAAAGAAGAGAGGTCAGCCCTGTAACTCGTGCTTAAGGGAGCTGGACCCACATGGCTGACCATGGTCTGAAAGCCAGCCCGAGGCTTGCAAAACACACCAAGCGTGCGTGCGTGCGTGTGTGTGTGTGCTCGTACCCTAAATCCCTACAGGAAGAGAAAGACTGAGGCATGATCACGCCCCACTGAAGGTAGCTTCCTCCCTTTCCTCTCTGGAGAGTGTACACACCCACTGGCAAATTAGAGAAAGTGGAGAAGACTGCTCCTCCTGGACTGACCCTGGAGCGCCTCTGGGCTCTGCTCCCTGGCCCTTGGGGACTTTCAGCACCTTCACAGTTCAGGCCACCGTTCTGAGGGGGCTGGCCTGGCCACTGGAGGGCTGAGGCCACTTCCACACTCGTGGGCGTCTCCGCGTCCATCAGCTCAGTGAGACCTGCGACTGTGATATTTCTGTGGTGAAATGCAAGCACTTTGTGGTGAGGTCATGTGACACATCTAGGTCTCTAGAATGCTCTCTCTGCGAGCGCGGAATAGGATGTGGCTTTGGTCCCTCATGGACTTTGAAACCTATCAGAAAACAGCAGGAGCTGCCAGGCAGTCGTGTGCACAGAGGTGGGAGGAAACACGACACAGGCTTGCTCCTTCCTGTCGCAGGGGAAACGAGTTAGCTGGCCATCGCGGTAACTGCACGGCCGCGTTTTGTTCTTCACGTTCTTGCCAAAGGGTACACTTACTCACCAGAGAGAGACAGAGGGAGACGGAGAGAGGGAAAGTGAGAATCACCCCCTCGGGGGGCGGCCGAGCCACAATCCCTTCTCCATTCTCCTCTCAGGATCTTGGGCACACACATACACACATGCACCCAGTGTGGTTTTCAAACCGCCGGGTCCAAGACTTGAACTGTGGTTGCCCATGCGGAAGTCCAGTACCTTAATCACCATGCTACCTGCTGGGTGCTGCAGGTCCGTGTTTAAGCGGTGTACTGACGCCATCCTAGACAGAGGTGGTCCCGGGACTTGGCCTCACAGCCCAGCCACTATACGGGAACTCCCACCTCCGAGGGTGGTCTGCCCTCTGAGGGTCACCTCACAGGCCTTTGGGAGACATGGCCTGAGTTGCCCCCACTTAGCCCCAGCAGGTCTCTCCGTGGCTAAGGCTGGGCATGCTAGACCCTTATAAGGTGACAGGGACAGGCCAGAGGAGAATGTGGAGTCAGCGTTTAGCTTGCCCCTGGCTAGCTGGGTGTCTCTGGTTAGGCAGAGTGCCTCCTCTGAGGGAGGGGGACAAGCCCCTCACTTGACAGGAAGGCATGGAAATGGGCGAGAGGGTGCGGAGAGCCTGTCCCTGTGCCATCCCTGCAGGCTTCCCTGCCACACCGTCAGCCCTGCCTGGGAGCCTCTCCTGCCAGCGAGGGCTGCCCACCTGGCTGATGCCCAGAGAGCTCCGTGGGCAGGGCTGGGCAGAAGGATGGAGAAGAGGAGCGAAGGGGGGGGGAGCCACGCCCTCCCTGCAGCCCTTGAGTGGCCTAGCCATCCGGCCTTACTCGGAGAAGCGGTCGTAGAACGGAGAGCGCAGCAGGTAGTAGAGCAGCAGCACTGTCCGACGCCGCAGCTCCAGCCGCTCCCTCTGGGTCAGGCCCTTCCTGTCACTCAGGAGGCTCAGGCTGGAGGGAAGGGGCTATGGTCAGGGCCAGCAGTTGGGCCCTTGGGAGGGGAGCTTGGCCAGGTTTCCACGGGGGCAGCAGGAGGAGCAGGGGCTGCTCCTCACCCACATGAAGCCAGGCCTCCAGCGGCAAGCCCAGTGGGGGGCATGGAGCCCATCAGGCCTGGCCTCACCTGGTCACGTCCACAACACCAGACAGGAGCCAGGGTGTCCACGACCGCTGACCGCACAGGCCCAGGCTGAGCACTGATGGACACAGTGTCAAGGATGTCTCGGCACAGGGCCCAGCTCAGCCCACTCTCGTGCACCCCTGGGCATCCCCAGCCCACGGTGCCGGCCACCCCCACGCCGAGGATACGGTGCAGCAGGGGCCGGGCGATGTGCAAAGACTCAGCGATGGTCTCCTGCAGCCCCAGTGGGGTGGAGGTGTTGCTCAGCTCCTCGGGCGGCTGCTGTGGCCGTCCCTCCAGCTGCTGGGGGGCGCCCCAGTGCCTCGAGTGCAGGGATGGAGCTAGAACACAAGGGCAGCCATGAACGAGCCAGGAGGGGGCAGGGACAGGCATGAAGGCAGCCGCCCCGCAAGCCCTGCTGATCTCTGCACCTAGTGTCCAGGCCATCCACCACTTACTGTTCTGGAGGGTTCGCACCACTCGGTTTGACCGCTTCCCCACATAGGGCTGCTCCTGGCTAGGGCTGTGGTCACCATCTAGCAGGGACAGACAGAAGGCCACACTGTCAGAGGGACATGCTTCCAGCAGAGCCTGCAAACAACAGGTGAGCCATGAATGCTCAGTGGTAAGGTGGGAAACGGCTGAGTGGAGGAAGTCGCAGCCAGGGTTGCCACAAGTGAAGGGTCTGTGATGCTCCCTGGCCCAGAGAAAAGGCAGCATCCTCTGGGCCAGAGCCAGCCAGGACCCAGGCCTGACAGGGCTGGGGCCAGGCAGGGAGAGCCCAGGCCACCCACATCTCTGGGGAGCACAGCGCCTGAGAAGTTGTAGCCGGTCAACCCTTTGCTTCCAACATGACCATGAGGAAAGAGCTACACTCAGGGTTAGCAGAACCAGTCCTGGAGGCTGGCAGGCGATTGGCTGCCCTGCCTCCAGGGCTAGAGACAAGGCTGGCAGGACCCTCTCCTGCTGATGCTTGGTCCCCTAGTGCTGCAGCCTATAAAAACAAAGCATCGGAAGTCCCAAGTTCAAGTTCTGATTGTGCCCCAACCTAATCTTTCTTCTCTGTAAAATACAAGGTGATGAAAACAATACCGGGGACAGGGTACTGCATAAGCCAACGGTACTGTATTCCCACCGGCTGGCTCGAAATCCACAGATTAGTCCCACACCCTGTTTCACTCCGGGGCAGGAAAGACGCTTACTCGAGGGCTGTGCCTGGGTCTCCCTGTCCAGCGGAGCGATGGGAGGTGAGGTCTGGAGGCCGGTCTTGAACCAGATCA